AAAAAAAAAAAAAAAAAACTGAATTATAATCATAGTACCATCTCATCACTCACAAGCAATCACATACTTTAATCTATATTCATTGTTTCGAATAAATTTCCACATTATTCTTTCTAATAATGAAAAGCTGAATTGTTGCTCATCCATTCGTACCCTTAGGTTGCAATTCTGATAGTTTGCTTTTCATTTGCAGAACATTAGGGTCTCAACCGGAAAGTGAATCTCTATGTTTGGGGAAACACAAGCTCCCTCTTTCAGACACGTTAAAACCTTCCAAGTCAAAATCCAGACGAGTTACTAAAGAACCAACTCATATGCATTCTCCAACAGCTCGTGAAGTATTCCAGCAAATGGCGGCAATGATGCCAGACGACACATTTTCATACTTTGACAAGCAGCCATCCTTCTTTCCACAAGCCCGGATGCTTGAATCTGATTGGCTGCTCGAAATGAATGGCAACTTAGAAGCTGCTTACTCATCCAACGTCCAGCCATATTTAAATTCCGAGCTTGAAGATCTATCAATTTTACCCCACTTTACGGATATAGGGTAAAAAGAACATGGATGATAAAAGTCACTTCACTAGTTTCAAAATAGAGTGGCTGAAAATGGCCATGTTTTTTTCGAAAATGACTAAATATCGGGAAAAGAGAAGCAAGAAAGCTTGCAGTCGATGAAAGTGTTGAGTACTTGAGGCTGGGCAAAAAAAGTGATTGCTGAGCTGTCGGGTGGAGAGTATAATCGAAAGAACGAAAAAAAAATGTTTCGGGAGCTGATTTTGTGAGTGATGGATGTATTTCTTGTTTGGGAAAGGTTAAAAAGCTCTCGGCTATGTGGTGAACAGAAAATGTAGAATAGTAGATGTTTTGAGGGGATATATGTATAATATTAAGCTTGTGCATGGAGTAGGGTTTTAGTGTAGTATTGTATTCTTGCAAGCAGTAGTGTTCTATTTGCTGCTTTATATTTGTGGCTAGAACAATGTACTTGCAATTTTTAAGGGAATACTGGTGAAAAAGTTTATATATTGGTTGATGCATGCAATGCAGGAATGTTTTCTCATAAATTATCTTGAAGCATACAAAACTGATACATACTTGAATTAAAAAAACTTTTCATAATTAAGTTGGAAAATACATAAATTATCTCGAAACATACAAAATTGATACATCCACCATACAGAAAAAATTTTGGATTTTTTATTATATATAGAGATGAAATTCATGTTCAAAATATAAAATTTGATAATTTTTGTTGAATCACACATAACAAATACGCGTTGGTATTAATCTCTGCACCTAATATTGATTGTGCCAAAAAATTAAAATTATGTGATCCTGTTTTGCCTAACAACAAACACTTGAAATTTTGTTCCAAATGTGTAATATTTTCTCCCAAGAGTCCGATTTCTATATAGTTTTTCTAGTAAGTTTCGTAGCCACATACGAGCATCTTCAATGATATATTATTCATTTAGTGTTGCATGACATGGAAGACGAAGATTAAGAAATTGTGTCTCCAATAATTAATGTTAAATATAGTTTAATTTGATAGGTGTAAAATTATAATTGGTTAGAAAAAAAAAATTTGAATAAATAATATAATATATATATCTCGAGCGGGTTTAGAAAAAATTCAAAAATTTTTGCCTTCAATCTAGGGTTACAGTATTTGATCTCCGCTTATTTCTCCCCCCATTTTTTTTTTTTTTTTT